ACAATCATAGGGTGCATGCAAAGAACCGCTTTATTTATATTGAGTAGGCCATGCGTTGTGAGAGGCGAGGGGACTCATAATAATCAAGTACCCCGATTAGTGAGAAGCGAGAGGACTCACAATAATCAAACATTCTGACTTTTGAGAAGCAATCAAGTCAATATAACTTCCTTTTTATCCTTATAACTTTTTACTTAAAAAAATATGTAGAAAGTACAAATAATGATGTAGGAATGCACCGTACCCGTTGAAAATAAGATATTGTAGTATGAGCCTGTTTTGAAAAATGACGCCTCGTAGAGGTCAAACGGTTCATTGTAGGGGATCGTACCTTTGGAGACTTTTTATCAGGACGACAAGATCTACAACATATCAAATCTTCAGCCAATTCGACCGAAATTCAATTTCCATAAGGTTTGTGCGGGGTCCTTTACTAATGGAAAATGTCCAGTAGTCGGCATTCATTATAGCACTCACCAGTTTTCGACACCCTTGCTTGAATTTCATCAAATATCAAGATGTGTATATGCGGATTTATTAATTAATTATTAATTGTTTATCAATTATTATTTAAAAATATTAAGGAGAAAGAACTTTTTTGAAACAAATCAGAAATTCAAATAGGGTCTATGAGAGTTCAAACATTGGTGTTGTAGTGTGGTAAAAATTAATAATAATATTAGTGAACGTTCCCCACATAAGACGCGAGAGGAAAATTTATTAATTAATAATTCATTAAAAGTGATCACCAAATGCGTTTCGGTCCATTCGCAGATCTCATAGACCAAAACGCGTTTGGTGACTTTTGATCATTTTTAATGTATTATTAATTAATAAATTTTAATTAATTTTAATTAATAAATTTTAATTAATTTTAATTAATAAATTTTTCTCCCGCTTACCAGTGCTTGAATTCTCATAGGAATTATTATTTACTTATATTTTCTTTTAAATCCTCATATACTTTAATACCCGATCGCATAAGAGTGCCAAAAACAGGTAGAGTATCAACTACTGAACGTTCTCATCTATTTATCAAACAAAATTACGTTTCTATATATTTATTTTATTGCTACTGTTCACTATCATTGTTAATTTGGAGAAAAATTGTGCTAGATATATATATATATACACAATGTGTTACAAGTATGAAATAAATATTTTCTTATTTTTCTGATAGATGCTTCATTTATGTATCAGTTTATATAATAAATATATATATATATATATATATATATATATATATATATATATATATATATATAGACAGAGAAAAAGAGAGATAATAAAACAAAGTATATAAGTATTTAAATATGTGTGCATATATATATATATACGTGTGTATGTGTGTGTGTGTGTGTGTATGTGTATGTGTGTGAATTTCGAGCATTATTATTATAAATCATGAACTTTTGCTGCATTTTGAAACAAAACGTTCAATAATTCTGAAATTTGTGTCTATATAGCAATATTCAAAACAATGTCTATATAGCAGTTTTTAATACAGAGTGTTAGTTAAGTATGTTGCCATACTCAACAGAGCGATTCTTTGGTTTATTTTAAGTAAAAAAGTTCATATAAACATGTGTCCTAAACAACTTAGTTTCCGAAATAAAAAAATTGAAACGTGTAGTAATAATCTGTTTCATTTAGAACAGCTTTTTCTAGTACTAGTGTTCTAACTGTGTCATAGGCTGTCCAAGATCAACAGTATTCCTTACAAAAGAACCCTTTTCTCGAAGATAGCGGTGAATATTCGCAAATGTTTTACGACATGGTAAATTGCGTTGGAGATATCTTTCTGCATAAAAACGCCTTGCCTCACGTGAGTTACCATTTGCAAGATCGTAGGCAAAGTGCATATCTGCCATTTCAAAATTTGTAAACTTAGGCATGATGAAACCGATTTTGATGGACTGAAACAATTTAACCCGAAAACGTATGCACAAGCTAACTGACCCGTAGCAACATCAGAACTGGAGTCTATTTTTGATTTTATGACTTTGACTTTGACTTTGTCACTTTGTTTACGATCTTGCGAATGGTAACTCACGTGAAGCAAGGCATATTTATGTAGGAAGATATCTCCAACGCAATTTACTGTTTCGTCAAACATTTGCGAACATTCACCTGTATTTCGGAAACTAAGCCGTTTAGGACACATGTTTATATGAATTTTTTTACTTGAAATAAACCAAAGAATCGCTCTGTTGAATATGGCAACATACTTAACTAACACTCTGTATAGTAGCTTTTAAACAAAATCTCAATGTAGAAAAAGAGAAAGAAAAAGAGAATTTTTTTTTAGAAGATATTAAAAATACAAATTAAAAATAGCAAGTTAGGTTACAGAACATATATAAAAACTGTCAACTTTATAGACTCATATTGCATATATCTTAGCTCTTGAATAACTAATCTTTTATTAATTGCACGAGCAATGTTTCACTCTATTACGGATAATATTTTACTGTGCAAAATTCTTTAAATCCTCCATGAATCTCGTTACATTATACAACTATTTTAAATTTAACAAGAAGCTCTCTTAACAAAGATTCATATATTAAATTTATACAACTTCATTTCCACACGAATACTTTAATATTAATTATATAAGTAAATATAATTACATAAGTACTGCGACGGATAATTCAAATTTTTATTTTATGTTGATTAAAACATCTTGATTAATTAATAGAACCTACGTTAACGAAATCTTCCTTGTAATAAGCGTAATTCGAGGGCCGTAAATAAGTAAAAACGCCTCTATTTTAATTTATTTTGCAAAAGCAGGGTCAGGACTACATACGGAAGATGACTGAGCTCTATATAGACGTACTTAGATCGCATATATATTTCGTTCGCGTATCTCCCGCGAGAAATCCACTAAGCGTATTGCCTGGAGAACGCGCAGCATCCAGAATTTCAAGGCGCAACGGGTCGAACGTCTCGGTAAATCGGGTGACTGTCCGCCGCAACGGCCGCCCATCGTTTAACTAGTCCACACTTGCGGCCAATTTCATCGAGCATTCGCGAGCTTCGACTCGAAGCTTGCCAATACAGCGAATTAAACCTTAGTCACTCGAATTCAATGCAAACCGCGCTGGATACCCGCTCTACAGCCCCTCTGGCGTCGGTGGTAACCGATTCGCGATACGCTATTCGCTGTAAGCGATCGTGACTGATATGTTCTCATGGGAATATCATCATAGTTGCCTCGCATCTCACTCCTATAGTTTCATTAATCATAGGCTGATGAAACCACAAACGTTCGAACGGGATGACTAATCAATACATCGCAGTTGTAATCGTAGCAACCTTGGATATAAAATAACTTCAACATATGTATGACGATGTAATTTATAAATACCGGAAATACATTATAGATTGTTCCTTCACTTCGATTCACACACATATGCGCGCGCGTACACACAGTAATAACATTAATCTCACGACTGTTACAATAGACGAGACGAAGAAAGGAATTTGAACGATTTTATCACAAATATAAGAAACCGTGTTGCTCGCGTAAGCGTGCTTTAGCGTTAGCGTTTATTCGATCACGACTCTTTCACATTGATAGTAAAAGACACAGATGCGTCGAAGCACATTCCAAAAAGATTGCAAATTATTTCATGTCGCTACGTCGACTCATTAATGCATTACAGCCATTCAAAGCCGCGACATCGACATGAAGTTTGAGTTCGGTTTTTTGCGCGCTTATGCGGTGCTGGCACTTGCTTTAGCTCCAATGTATTATATTTGTTTTCATGCTACTCTTTCTTAAGGAGGGAAGTCACTATAGAGGGTCACAAAAATCGAATTTTTTTTGCTGTAATTAATAGTACTATATGTATAGAATATATTCCCAAAGCTTGGTTTTAAATTCAAAATCTAAATGTACAGAACCATTTTTCGCACGCAGATACGAGCGCATGGTACGAGATTTGAGCGCACAGTGACTCGCAACGGCTTTGTTTCGAAAAACCTGTTTGAAAAAACGGAAAAAATCATTCTAAGAAAGATCTATTTGAAAGGTGCTTAGGTGGGCACACAAAAATGCGAATAAAAGTTTTAATAGTACGATTTAGCGGTTAGCTCCAAAGTATATACATTCTGGCCTTAAAACCACCGGAATCACCGCCTATATTGCTGTTGGGATATTTAACTACTTTGCTGTTTTGAAGATAATGGAAATATTAGAGATTAAAATTGGGCTTCTATGTAAGTTATTCTGATAGTAAGGACGCCGAGCGAATAAAGAGATTGAAACGCCGCAGCCTAAGTTGCAGTAAAGAGGCTCGAATAGCAAGTAAACAACACCAACTTGAGCAAAATGACTTGTTTGAAGAAGCGGAAGGTTTACTGTATGGGGCAAGAATAGCGGATTAGCAGAAAACAGCTGTAACTTTATAATTTTCTATATTTGAAACTTTAAAAGTATTTTTCTTGAAACGACTTCTTCCAAACTAGTGTGCAAGATAATTCACAAACTATTTGACCAATCGAGTTGCCCTTTTACATACATTTAGTTTATTATATTTGCTAGTCAATGAACCTATAAAATCCATAACATTATTTATTGAAACAATTTTTTCGCATATATAAAGATGGATTTTTATGAGTAAAACTCGAACTTTTTATTCAAGGCTGCATTTTGTCAATTACAAAATTTCTTTTCAATTTCTTTAGGTTCATCGACAAATTATTTCCATAAAGAGTAACAAATTTTTCCCTATTTTGGTTTCAGACGAATACAACAGGAGCTAGAGTGCACACCGTTTTGCGTCGACTCTGCCGCAACGCTCAAGATTTCTTTCACTAAATACAATTTATAAACATTCTTCTTAACTTAAAAATATTTTTTAAATATTTTAATGTACAAGCAAAAACACTACAAAGTTGGGAAGCGGTTGGATAAATACATTCTTCAAAAAAAATTCACGAAAATTCCCTTATTTTTGATGTTCTATAATGATTTCCCCCCTTAAAACCAGATGAACGACTGCATAGTTGCATCGACGCACAGTGAAGTTAAATGAAGATTTATTGTTAAAAAATTGTTATATATCATAATTCTTAATTGATCAAGACGAATCTTTTTTAAAATTAATCGTTAATGAATTTCAAGGAAGACTGTGAAGCTTGATTTTTGACAGGTACTCTGAAATTTGCACTATTAATAACAACCTGGAAATCATGACACTAAGTTCGCATTCAGCGACATACAAAACTCCAGTGCGGTCCTATTTCTACTAAAAACATGCATTTTCTTATAGTTGACAGCAATATTGATAGCTGTTGTTTCTCTCAAATCGACGTAAGAGTCTGACACTACGCATTTACCTTATTGATGTTTATTTGAACTTCGAACACTGAACATAAATAGGTGGCAAACAGCCGCGGCAGATCAGGAAGACGTAGTCGTAGGAGGCGGTGCATAATCGCAGCAGGAACAAGAAAACTATCGTCGTAGAAGTAGACGGCGGATAACCGTTGGAAGACAGGAGCTCGGCGTCGGAGGCGACGGACAGCCGCTGCAGGACAGGAGCTCAGCGTTGGAGGTGGCGGACAGCCGCGAGAGAGTAGGAACCCGACGTCGAGGGCGGCGGACAGCCGCTGCAGGAACAGAAAACGCCGAACCTGAAAACAGATGGTGGAGCCATTGGAGGCTGCAGCGGTGCACTCCGTGGAGGACAAGGTCGCGAGGGAACCAAGCGCACACTGCGCGACGACTCCGTAAAGGAGAAGATCTCAAGGACTTTGATGCAAACACACACTGCGCAACGATTTCATAAGGGTATAAATGGAGTTAAGCACTCGATAAACACCGGTGATGCATCAGGAGTCGGCCGCTTACTCGCGTATGTTCGCATCACAGAATTAGCAAAGACTGCTCTGGAAAAAGACAAAAGAAGAAAATTAAGCGAGTGCTTGTTAATTTTGAAAATTAATGATACATGCAATCTTTCTCTGAAACATATATTTTTCATGATATTGTTACTTTCATTTTACAGCTATTTTTTCATTGTTACAGCAACAGAAAAATGTTCGGACTATTTTACGAGTTTGCTCGATCGTTCACAAATTTGTAAGCATATGATTTTATTTCAACGTATTTTGCGAGAGTTTTTAGCATATATTCTTTCGCTTTTCTGATGTCATTAATCAAGATAGCCGCGGTAAGGGAGCAGATTCCTTATTCAATTAAAATTTTCTTCGATAATCGGCAAATCAATAATCAAAATTTAATAAATTTAATAAATTTAATAAATTTAATAAATGCGTAACCGTAAAAAATTTAATCAATTGATGAAATTAATTATTAATCAGTGTATAATCAATTATATTAAAGTTTTATTCATAATCAATTGGTGAAATTCTTTGTGATTCTTTGTGATATATGACGATTAATTAATTTTGATTATTGATTTGCCGATTATTTTAGTCAAAGAAAATTTTAATTGATTAATATTCAACGTAGCTTCACATCGATAACATCGGCCAATTGAGAACGCGGATGATTCAAATGTCGAAATCTTCACTCATAGTCCTCGTAACGATCGAAACGAAAAACGTCGGAAAGCGAAAAAATTACTGCACTTCCGATAGATGATATTTCATCCATATACTTTATATACCATATGTTTAATTCAGTTATTTATATAATTCTTTTTTAATCGCGTTTTTTTCTTATTTTTGCATAATATCGCCTAATTGTACCACATAAATATTTTTGATGATAAAGAACTCGCTAATGATTAATGTTATATTACTATTAATGTTATGTTTATGTTATAGAATATGTTAATTATGTTTATGTTACAGATTATATTAATGTTATGTTTATGTTATAGAATTTCGTAATTTCAGCATTAATCCGCTTGCTCGCTTAAAACGTTATATTACCTACGATTGCTTGATAACTCGAGAGTTAAAATATTCGATAAATATGAGTAACAAAAAGACTCTGCGAAACTTTTACACGAAATTTCAGACCTGTTCAACCATGAGTATAATTACGACACTCGTGTGAGAAGATTACCCGCATATGTATGCATTGAAATTTTTGTTGAATCAAGCGCTTTGACGGCAAAGCTAAGAATGAGAATTCGATGAGTACCGTAGGTACGTCCATGCATGAATTTCCGGTTGTTTCTCGTTCAATTGTACACGAGAGAAGTTACGGGATAAAAATAGGGCGTAGGAAATACGCAGCTCAGTATTTGTTCCGTGTAATTACAGAGCGCGCGAGTTACGACAAAGGCTTTCTGTATTGCGCTTATACGTTTCGCCCCGTAATGTACAGGATGCGCCGTTTTGCGTTCATACGCGTGTCTATAAACGCGTTTGCCTGTGCATTATATACGAACCTCAATTAGTGCATGCTCGTAGATCATTACAGCGTTTAACGACAATTTAATTTGAATATTATTACAAAAGTGCTAATGTTAATTGTAATATTTTCAACTCTTTAATAAAAAAAACTCTTTAATAAAAAAGTTTCACGGCAGGGAAATTACGGGAAAATTTGTTTAAAACGTTCGTGATAATGTAAATAGAAAAGTGTATATACCTTTTAGAAAATAAACGTCAGTAATTGGTCATTTAAATGTGCTTGTATTATTTCATACAATACATAAGTTCTACATAAGTTCTTTCATAAAATGCGTCATAAAATTTAATGTAATTTGATCTAACTTTTAATTGGCAACTATATATATATAGCAATATGAAAAGAACGTATTATAATTTTTTTAACATCACTTTAAATGAACATCAGAAAGTCTGCCTGCGTTGAAATATAGTACCGCCTTTCACTAGGCAACATTGATAAGCGCATATAAGCAACAAATAAACGCCGACAAATAAATATTTCCCCTTTTTATTGTAGAGCTTGTTGTGCTCTCGACTTATTGGGGAAATAATGCCAAGAATAATGAGCGCGTGTATGCCAGCTATGCGATACGGGAGACGCAAAGTGGTACTGTATAACATGATGAGTAGCGAGTTCGTGCACGGAGAGCAGAAAGAAAAGAGACGGCGACAATAGGTGAACGAAGGTGCAGCGGGGCTATCGGAGGATATACTGGGCGACACGATCGTAATACTCCGCGAAAGACGACAACGGGGTAAGACGCTCTTTAAAACGAGAACAATAAGAAGCTGGCTGTGCGCGCGTGAGGCAAGTTTTAAAAAAGTCTACGTCGCGCATATTACGGAAATTCTTCCATGCATCCCTGTAGTTAACGTCGCATTAATATCACAGACGACAGAATTGGGCAACGTCGGCTGTAAAAATAGCAGGTCTGACGAGAATATATAAGTGGGCGCGCGCGAATGTAAGTGAGAAGCTTTTATCATTCGACTCTTTCCAACGTAAAAGTCGGTCTAAGAAAATTCGTTGTCATACAATACAAACAATTACGATTGTTATTATATTTTATGTATATTATTATGATATATTACTACACATAATATTATTTTTTGTTACTTTTGACGTGTACTTATTATAAATATAAATGTTATAAATCATAACATATAAAATAAAATGAAAAGAGACAAATAAAATGAAAATGACTATTTAATTATTATATACGATATTAACGAAAAATTTACGGTTCACGCGCTCTTATATTCAAACAATTTCGATCTTATATTTAATCTATTTTGCGCTTTAAACTTATAAAAAATCTCTCTAAAGAGTTTTTTTTAAATATAATAATTTATATAAATTATTATGTTTATATAAACCATCGCTTGAAGTTTTCCAAACACCACGAAAAATTTCAAATTATAAACATTGGAAGGCACATAAATTTGTAATCTTTTTGCTATTTTATAGTATACTATTTAATGAAATAATTTTTTCCTAGAAAACTCTTACATCATTGGTCATTATTAGTTAATGCTATTTCAATTTTATTAAGCACGTCAATAATACGTTCTGACATTTTATATGCAGAAAATTGTCTCCTAAAATTTGTAAAAAAAATTCAAATTTTATATGGAAAAGAATTCATGTTTTTTAATGTACATTTATTATTACATTTACCTCAAAGTGTTCTTAATTGGGGACCTTTATGGGCACACAGTGCCTTTTGCTATGAAGATTTCAATCAAGAATTGAAAAATTATGTTAAAAGTTCTAATGGTGTTGCTCGACAGATATGTAATATATTTCGTATGAGATGAGTTGTAAATAAATTATGATTAATAAAATATAAATATTGGACATTTAGTAATGTTAGGTTTACCAATTGTAGCTTCTAAATTGCACCATGATTATTATTTAGCTCTACAACGTCTAAACATAATCATAGAGCACAATTGTGCTCCTAGATATTATCAGAGGATTATGATTAATAAAGAAATTATTCACAGCAAGCGATACTTAAAAGTTAAGAAAAGGTTAATTGTTTTGTTATTTTAAACAACAATCAAATATTTAAAATTGAAATATTTTTAATAATTTCCCAACAAAGTGTTACAACTTTGTTTTGCTATTGGTTTTTATTATGAATCTCATAGAATACCATTAATGCAAAATAGAAAATTACATCACCTCATTGTCTTTAAAAATAAAATTAATAATTTAGCTGCAATAAATGTAACTGACATTAAAGAAAAAATTACAATTATCCAAAGTAAAAAATTTAATATTTTTATAGCTTGCATCCAACCTAATCATATAGAATTACTAACCTAACTATTATGTAAGAAGATTTATATATGTTATTTATATAAAATTAGTTATATTATATATATTTATTATGCAAGTTACCATAAATCATTTATATATATTGCGTACGTAAATTGTAATAAATTGTATATATAATTATACATAATATAATTGCATGTATATGCGTGTGTGTGTATAGCTATATGTATATAAATGATTACTAATTTATTAACACATTCAATGTTTGTAAAAAGCCTTTAAAAAAAATAAATATTTGTCACATATTTCAAACATGCGTTTCTTACTTATAATTGTTATGTACAATATATTCAAGTCACCCTGTATATAAAACTGCAGAAAAATTTAATTTCATATACATAAATATAAGTGTAAATATATTTTGAGATATACTATATTGTGTTCCGTAAAAGTTATACGAAAATAAATAGTTTTTATATAAATCATTTATATTAATCATAATATCATAAATATATTTTTGCATATATTATAAATATATTTTCTTCGTTTATAGTTTTGATATAAAGTGCCTATATCATACATATATTATTGCCTATATTACGAATATACATTCTTCAATTATAATTTTTAGATATACAAAATGACAAAAAATGACTTAATTTTATATATGTAAGTATATATTTGAAATACACTAATATATATTTTCGCATATATGTTTAAGTATATTATATAATATATTTTTAGATATACATTTTTCCATGGGGGCGGACGCACACGAGAATAGGAGATAACTCGATACAGCAAATTAATATGACAGAACATCTCAGTAATAGCAAATAGAATTCTTTCAGACTTTCGGTAAATTGGAGTCATATTCGAGTTAAGCCAAAGTGATAAACGGCAAAGCATAATTTCCATGGCATAAAAGTTACGAAGCTATGGAGATAACTTACGCCAATTTTCCTCGCAGTCCTTCGCGTATAATTAATTCCTTTGTAAAAGTGAGCGAAAAAGCATCGCGTATGTTTCAGCAGATGGCGGACGCATTTGCAACGCTTATTTTTAAACTTTGTGCTTCTCGGGGTAAAATACTGCCCCAACGTGTATAGTCGCCATTGCTCGCTCAAAGACCAATTACTGTCTTCTATACGGTACCAGTTACACGCACGCGAGACGTGTTACGACGTTGTAATATTTCGTAATCGTGATTACGATGACGTGTCGTAATC